GTTAGAGAGCACACTGAAATTCATTAGTCAAAAGACCATGATCTGACTCAGATTTGCCATACATTAGGGAATTATGTTTAGAGTATAGGTTTTTTTGTTTCTTTTTTATTCTACCTATAGATCACATTTTATATCAGATGGTCTCATAACTCCAAAAAAATTAACCACTTTGATTATATACATTTAGTAAGGGATGAGGCATCAGAAAGTTTTTCTTTAGTTCTTAAATTGATGTGAATAATTTTGCAAAGTTGTTTGACATTACCAATGCTGGCATGACATATAGGAGGCTTTATTTTTCTCTTGTTCTATTTCTACAAAAATGGTATCACTCTTAATAGAGAAATACCTAAGGGATTTCTAAGATAATTATTTCCATGGTACTCAATTTGGTCAGAAACACACAGACAAATTACACCCATGCGGCAAATTCAGAAAGTGATGACAGTTCAAGCTGAGGGGAAGGTTATTCATAACATGAATAACTTCATAAGCACACATCAGACGGGCAGAAAATATGAGCCAATACAAATCTGTGAGTTTGAAAACTCATCACTGTGACACCCTTCTGTAAGTTAATTCTTTAAATTTTCCAGTTATCTCTTTTAACCAATACCCACTTTGTTTTAGTTGAATAGTTTCTTTTACCTCTGCTGTCTTTAAAGTCCAGTTACTATGTTTTTTACAAATCTTCTTTTCCAAGTATGCTCATGTCCACATCAGAAAAACATCATTCTTTATCTGATAACCAATAAGAGAAGTACAAATATTCCATTTAACTTAACCATGTAAAATATTTTAATCCAAAAAGTGCATATTAGATAAGATAGCTTTCAGAGTAGAATGAGGAGTAGAAACAAAGAAAGTTAAGTGATGATTTTGGAAATAAGTTTAAAATAGTCTGCCAAATATTGGGTGCTAGAAGAAAAATTAGTCTTTTCCATTGATTAGCCACCTAAATTATTGTTAAATGTAGAATAGTCTGTCCTGAAAGCATGCAAAAACAAAATGGATTCAGCAAATTGAATTAATGTCCATTTGTGTATACACATCCATCGATCCAAACATATGTATTTGCATGCATACAGCCAGATACATAGCAATAAGAATCAAGAAAAAAGAGGTTATTCACTTAAGGGGTAATGTGAGTACAGTATGTGGGAATAGTATGTGATAGTAGTTTGAAGGAGAAAAGAGAGGTAAAATGATGAAATTCTAATTCAATTAAAATATATTTAAATAGTAAAATATACATACAAAGAAAACAAATTAATAAAGCAAAACAATAATATATCATAGAAACAATTAATCTGCTAACCAAGCAATCTGTTAGAAAACAGCAAAAAGCCACTGTTCAGTAACCAGTGTCTATCACATGGTATCTCTCATATTGTATAATTTTGACTAGAACTATAAAAATTTATAGAATTGTGAATACCGAGACTATTGTAAGGTTTAGCACTTTGATAGAAGACTGATCAATACAGAAAAAATGAAAAATAGAAGAAAATTATTAGTTTGCTTCTGAACATAGAGAAGAGTATTCAGTTTGCTCCTACTCATTAATTTTTTATATTTATTATAAATAAGTCAACATTAGATTTTCTAGAAGAACTGCTATTATGTTGGATTCAAGAATTACAGAGAACCTCTGACAGTTAGTGTATTTCATTAGGTCTTTGAAAATACTGATAGATCCTAGGCAAGACAACTGAAGGGTGAAATGGTTGACATGTTTCTAAAAGCAATTTCATGTTGAATATGCTTTTTCATTTTTATGTTTCATAGATACAAAATAGGTATATACCAACTTAGAAAAAATGTAACAATTGTTTTAAAGAAAGATGATTTAAAAAATATATATATGAACACACATATATGCATGTGTCCTTTTACATATCTAAAATGTGTGAATATAAAAGGTATGTATATATAAACATGTCCAGATATGAATACATATGTGCATACAGACAAATATGTTCACACACACACACACACACACACACATATATATATATATATATATATGAACATGCATATCTTAAAAATAACTTAAAGAGTACAGATGAACATTAAAATTATTGGCCATTACTTTGTAAACAATATTGTTTCAAGACACACTATAAATATGATTTTAGGAAACAATTCTATCCCTGATAATAGAAAGGCTCAATAATTGCTGTGTTCATATTTTATTTTATATATTCATAATGCACTATTAAATTCTATGTGTAACATTCTTTAAGCTATTGTAATATTTGGTATCATTTTCCTGGCTTCTCAGTCATCACATGGAATCAAAACAGACTGAGCAGCATCACTAAAGCAGGTCTGTTAAAGCATGGTTGCTCCTATATATCAAAAGTAGCTGTAAGATACTTTATTTTCACACAGGTATTATACATCTAAAATACTAGAAGAGACTTTTTAAACCGCATTACTTGAGACTTGGTTCTACTTTGGAACAGAGGTCACAAAGGACAGACTGACACAAATGAATGCTCTTTCTTTTTTGTTTTTTTTTTTGTTTTTTTGTTTTTGTTTTTCGAGACAGGGTTTCTCTGTGGCTTGGAGCCTGTCCTGGAACAAGCTCTTGTAGACCAGGCTGGTCTCGAACTCACAGAGATCCGCCTGCCTCTGCCTCCCAAGTGCTGGGATTAAAGGCATGCACCACCATCGCCCGGCTGAATGCTCTTTCTTAATAAAACTTTTTATCATGATTGTCATAACTGAGCTCAGCGATCCAATTTCAATAGCCATACTATTGTGGATGGAGAAAGCCCTGGAGTCCTCAATCCTATGCAAAGAACCACAGACAACTAAGAAATCCTGGGAGTGCAAGAAGGATACCCCAGAAAAGCGCATCAATTGGCTATCCAATACCAATGGTCAGTTCTGAAATTTTAGTTGCAAGTAACTTTATACAAACAGAATAGTTTGTATATATAAACAATGAAAAAAGAAAATGAATTTCTTTTCTACCCCTTTTATTAAACATAGATTTTCTTCTAATACAGTATAGTCTAAATACAGCTTCCCCTCCCTCTACTTCTCATAGTTCCTCTTCACCTCTTCTCTCATCTGGATCTACTTGCTTTAAGTCTCCCACTAGAAAACAACAGGTTTCTACGAAATAACAACAAGCCATCATGATATAAATACAGTAAGACAAAAGAAAAACCATCACATTAATAGTAAACAAAACAAATCAACAGAAAATTCAAAAATCCCCAAGATAAGGCACAGGTATCAGAGACCCACTCCTTTATATATTCAGGAGTCTCTTCAAAGTACTAAACCGAAAGCTATACTATATGCGGAAAACATAGCATAGACCCATGTAGCCCGCATGCTTGTTGGTTCAAACGTGCTTTGTTTAGTTGATTTAGAGGGCTCTGTTCTCCTCTTGAATTTGAAAGTCAATGAGGAATAGTATATGGAAAAATTTTGAGGGAAGAAATAAATGTAGAAATGTTATAATTACATTATAATCTAAAGGCTAAAAAAATTCGTAAAACCCCCAAAAGTTCAGGTTGTCCTGAAACTTCTTGAGATGTGAAATAATAAAAAAAAAATCAAGGAACACAAACTCTATGTTATAACCAGCGTCTTTTCCTTAGATATTTTCTAAATATTTGTAAGGTGCATGTATTTACTTATCTGCAATCATGCTGCTGTAGCAGATGAATGTGCTACCTGATGTCTTCAGAACTTTCTGATTTTTCATCCTTACTCCACCCTTCTCAGTTGGCAGAAAACAGTTAAGTAAAATGTCATCAATTATTTCATTGTTCACGTGTTCTAGAAAAAAATAAAATAAGACCCATGAGTTGAAAAGCAACAAGAGAGTTACTGAAGGGAACTGGAATTGGGCAATTATTGTCCACCATCTGGCCTGAGTATTGTCTATTAGCTCAGTATAAGCAACTTGTTTGTGCTTTAAGGTGAATAATTGCTGCTCACTGGAAGTACAATGTCATACTCATCTAAAGCTGACAGCCAAAGGACTACTTTGCTTACACGTTTATGTAATTTATTCTGTTCTTTAAAAGAAAGATGATCAGTAAGAAATATAATGAGAAAATATACTGATGATCGATTAGTGCAGATAATATATTATTCATGTGAGGCAAATAGAATTTTTTAAAATCTAACAGCTCTAAAGATTTTTATGCAGTTTAAAATTACTACTTTTTAACCACTAAGTCTGAAATAACTGTGACTTTTAGAGTTCAGGTCTGAATACGCTTTGCCATGCTCCTCACTCAACACATCTCTACAGGTATTTGTGGTGGTATTTTTTAATCAGTTAATTTAAGCAAATGTTGTAATATGTATTTGTACATGAACAACTGTAAACCTGGTTTGTATATTTCAATCTGATATCTGTGTATATCTAATATGGTGTTCTGTTCTATATGCTTCCTCGCTGGGGTTTTCCAACAATTTATATTATATGCTTAAGTTAAAATTTTAATTAACAATATCACAGAAAAAAATCTGCTGATATCCAATGAAATCATTATGCATGGTGCTGACAATGGCAGTGTCCTGTTAGACCATTTTCACTGATATTCAGTCTAACTCCTGTCCAGTTTCCAAATTTATTACTTATTTTCGTTTTGGAATGTCATCAGTGCTAGTGAGAAATTTAGATATTTTAAAAAAAGAAACCATACACTTATTATTTGGTTTCTCACATTGCTATCCTGCTTCCTCACTGCTCTCCTCTAGGGGAATTTCATGTTAGAGCAGGTGTATCACAGTCACAACTGATGCTTCTCTCCTTGAGTTGTTGCTCTCGGCACATTTGCACTTTATCTCAATTTGGGAAGCAGTGTCAATATATATAATTTGGCTTAGAATTCTCTTTACATTAATGCACTCATATTCCATTAAGTTTCAAAGTAAATGTAAACTTTACAAAAAAGTTATTTCACTCATATGATTATTTCATAATCTTTCTTTTATTGCAGGTCATTTCTTATGACACACTGGGTAAAATGGATAGAGGCAATCAGTCTGTGGTGTCAGAATTTATACTTTGGGGACTTGCACAGTCACAGAGTGTCCAGGCTTTACTCTTTGTGGTATTCTTGACACTTTATCTCTTTATTGTTTTTGGAAATACTGTTATCATGGTCTTAATCACCACTGACCGCCATCTCCATTCTCCCATGTATTTCTTGTTGGCTAACCTGTCCTTTATTGACACGTGTCTTTCCTCAAACACCACTCCTAAGATGATATCAGACTTTCTCAGAGAAAACAAGACCATTTCCTTTTCAGGCTGCATGTCCCAGATTTTTTTTGCCCATTGCATTGCTGGAGGAGAGATGATCCTGTTAGTGGCAATGGCCTATGACCGGTATGTGGCCATCTGCAAGCCACTCCATTATTTCACCATTATGAACCTGCGAAGATGCTCTGGACTGGTGTTGGTTTCATGGACTACTGGTTTTATTCATGCCATGAGTCACCTGTTAGTGATTGTGGAGTTGCCTTTTTGTGGCCCCAAGGAAATAGATAGTTTTTTCTGTGACATGCCATTGGTGATCAAGCTAGCTTGCATGGATTCTCATGATCTGGATATTCTAATGAATGCTGACTGTGGAGTTGTAGCTATAGCCTGTTTCATTCTCTTGCTCATTTCCTACACATATATCATTATCACTATTCGCCAGAACTCCAAAGCTGGTGCATCTAAGGCTCTGTCCACGTGCAGTGCCCACATCACAGTGGTGATGATCTTCTTTGTGCCTTGTCTTTTCATCTATGTATGTCCACTCAATATTATCTGGTTGGATAAATTTCTTGCTGTATTTTACTCTGTTTTTACACCTCTTCTAAACCCAACTATTTATACACTGAGAAATAAAGAGATAAAAAATGCTATGAAAAGGATCATAAACAACCACCTTGGTCCCAAAGGAAATCTCTAAACCCAGAATGTAAACTAATTACTTCAAACAATGAAAGTAACTGTATGAAATAGACTGTAAATCAGCAAATAAAAGTCTGTATTAATTTTCCTATATTGATATAATTTAACATGTTAAAGAGAAATGATAATTTACTGACCAACCATGAAAACATTGTGAATCTTTCATCTTAACTGAAAACCAATGAGGACTACTGAGAACTCAAGAACAATGGCAATGGGTTTTTGATCCTACTGCACGTACTGGCTTTGGGGGAGCCTAGGCAGTTTGGATGCTCAACTTACTAAACCTGGATGGAGGTGGGTGGTCCTTGGACTTCCCACAGGTAAGGGAACCCTGATTGCTCTTCAAGCTGATGAGGGAGGGGGACTTGATTGGGAGAGGGGGAGGGAAATGGGAGGCGGTGGCTGGGAGGAGGCAGAAATCTTTAATAAATAAATAAATTTTAAAAAAAGGTAAAATAAAAAAAAAAAGGTCACAGCGTTAGGAAGGCTAAGGGCCGCAGCCACAACATGAGGAACTGTATTAAAGGGTCACAACTTTAGAAAGGCTGAGGACCACAACCACAATATGAGGAACTGTATTAAAGGGTCACAGCGTTAGGAAGGCTGAGGACCACGGCCACAGAGCTTTCAGTGTGAGTAGTCTGCTGACACCTCAAATCCACTGAAAGTTATTTTTTATTTCTAGTGGTCAGAAATGGTTTAAATGAAAAATGTTGCTCACAGGTTCATATATTTGGCAGTGCTGCTATTGAACCTTTAGGAGGGAAGCCTTGCTGAAGTCAGGATATGACCGAGGGCAAGCGGGGCTTAAAGTCTTGTTCCACTTTCTACTTCCACATTCTCTGCTTCCTGTTTGTGTTTGCAATGTGATCTCTCAGCCCCTACTCCAGCTGCCTGCTGTTCTGTCTTCCTCACCATTGTGGACACCGCCTTTGGGACCATAACCCAAAATAAACTCTTCTCTAAGTGGCAAAAAAAAAAAAATAATCTGAAAACCAATGCTCTTTGTATATCGAAATGTCGTTGAACTACGCTTCTATGGCTTTAATAAAGTTTGACTTAACATTTATTGAGCAAACTCATATGTTTATCTCTGTGGATTATATCTTATTAAATTTTACCTGAGTGTAGCTCTGTATAACACCCAAGCTCCTATTGGACAATGTTTTTGTCAATTGGCCAAAGTTCTCACTCTTGCTTTATAACAACCATGTAGTAAAACAATAATCTTTTTGACAGGATAAATTAAAAAGAGAAGAACACTCATTACTTCACAAAATTACAGTCGATTATACTTAGTGTTTTTACTTTAAATTAGATTCATAAAGTGCAATAAAACATGACTTGGCAATGTGGGTCCTGCAGCAGGATATCATGAAATGACACAACCAGGTCTCTTATAAGGTCTGGTATGGAGGAAGGACTCCTGGGTTAGTATGACTTGGGTGAAGCCTGAAGAAGTGTAAGAGCCAGATCTCTTATTGTAGTTTATATTTCATTTGTATTTTAATAAATAAGCTTTCCTGAAGATTAGTCAGTCTTATTCAGAGGATTTCAGGAGGCAGGATCACCATTTCACAATGACATACAGGTAAGAGCCAATGACTCACTGTTTTACTTTTCTAACCTTTAGGATGAACCCTAATATCCATCTCTTTGTTCTTATAAATCCTGCCTCTAGGAATCTTTAGAATGAGACTGTGTTTGAGAGCTGTCTACTCCTGCCTTATATTCCTCTCTAGGTCTGGGATTAAAAGTATGTACCATCATTGCCTGGTTTCTATAGCAAATTAATGTGGTTACTGGTATTAAATCTGTGTGTCACCACACCTCATCTGTAAGCTGATCAGGGCAGCTGTTTTATTCTCTGATTTTCAGGCAAGCTTTATTTATTAAAATACAAATGAAATCAAAACATTTGCTCACATTGTAGGCATGTGAGCTAGAGCATGGCAGAGCATGGCAGAGAAAAGATTCCTTATTTTTAGAATAGTTAACAATACTATACATGCAAAATTGCTTACAGGGGAGGACTGAAGTATTCTTTTTTTTTTAATAATTTTTTATTAAGAAAAGAAGAAAAAAAAACATAAACAAAAAACAAGTTTCCACCTCCTCCCAGCCTCCCATTTCCCTCCCCCTCCTCCCACCCTTCTCCCCCTCCTCCCACCCTTCTACCCCTCCCCCCACTCCTCTCCCCCTCCCTCTCCAGTCCACAGAGCAGTCCAGGTTCCCTGCCCTGTGGTAAGTCCTAGGTCCTCCCCCCTCCGTCCATATCTAGGAAGGTGAACATCCAAACTGGCTAGGCTTCCAAAAAGCCAGCACATTAAGTAGGATCAAGACCCCATGCCATTGTCCTTGGCGTCTCATCAGCCCTCATTGTTCGCCATGTTCAGAGAGTCCAGTTTTATCCCATGCTTTTTCGGTCACAGTCCAGGTGGCCTTGGTGAGCTCCCAGTAGATCAGCTCCACTGTCTCAGTGGGTGGGTGCACGCCTCGTGGTCCCGACTTCTTTGCTCATGTTCTCCCTCCTTCTGCTCCTCATTGGGACCTTGGGAGCTCAGTCCAGTGCTCCAGTGTGGGTCTCTGTCTCTGTCTCCATCCATCACCAGATGAAGGTTCTATGATGATATGCAAGATATTCGTCAGTATTGCTCTAGGATAGGGTCATTTCAGGTTCCCAATCCTCAGCTACCCAAGGAACTAACTGGGAACCTCATGTTGGGCACTTGGGAGCCCCTCTAGGGTCAAATCTCTTGCTCACCCTAAAGAGGTTCCCTTAACTAAGAATTGTGGTTCCGTGCTCCCCTATCCACCTTTCCTTTATCCCAATTCTCCTGATTCCCCAAATCCCCCCTCCTTCCCTTCTACCTTTTCTCTCCCCATCTCCCCTTACCCCCATCCCACCCCACCCCCAAGATCCTAATTTTCTCCCCGGCAATTGGGTCTACTTCCCTTAGCCAAGAGGATAACTATATGTTTTTCCTTGGGTTCACCTTCTTACTTAGCTTCTTTAGGTTCACCTATTGTAGACTCCGTGGCCCTAATTTATGGCTAGAAACCAATTATGAGCGAGTACATCCCATGTTCATCTTTTTGGGTCTGGGACACCTCACTCAGGATAGTGTTTTCTATTTCCATCCATTTGCTTGCAAAATTCGAGAAGTCATTGTTTTTTACCGCAGCGTAGTACTCTAGCGTGTATATATTCCATACTTTCTTCATCCATTCTTCCATTGAAGGGCATCTAGGTTGTTTCCAGGTTCTGGCTATTACAAATAATACTGCTATGAACATAGTTGAACAAATGCTTTTGTCATATGATAGAGCATCTCTTGGGTATATTCCCAGGAGTGGTATTGCTGGGTCCAGGGGTAAGTTGATCCCGAATTTCCTGAGAAACCGAAACACTGACTTCCACAGTGGTTGCACAAGATGGCATTCCCACCAGCAATGGATGAGGGTACCCGTTCCTCCACAGCCTCTCCAGCAAATGTTATCCTTGGTGTTTTTTTACTTTAGCCATTCTGACAGGTGTAAGATGATATCTCAAAGTTGTTTTGATTTGCATTTCCCTGATTGCTAAGGAAGTTGAGCACGACTTTAAGTGTCTTTTGGCCATTTGAACTTCCTCTGCTGAGAATTCTCTGTTCAGTTCAGTGCCCCATTTTTTAATTGGGTTAATTAGCATTTTAAAGTCTAGTTTCTTGAGTTCTTTATATATTTTGGAGATCAGACCTTTGTCTGTTGTGGGGTTGGTGAAGATCTTCCCCCAATCAGTAGGTTGCCTTTGTGTCTTATTGACTATGTCCTTTGCTTTACAGAAGCTTCTCAGTTTAAGTAGGTCCCATTTATTCAATGTTGCCCTTAAGGTCTGTGCTTCTGGGGTTATACATAGGAAGCAATCTCCTGTGCCCAGCTCCTGTAGGGTACTTCCCACTTTCTCTTCTATCAGGTTCAGTGTGTTCGGGCTGATATTGAGGTCTTTAATCCATTTGGACTTGAGTTTTGTGCACGGTGATAGATAAGGGTCTATTTTCATTCTTCTACAAGATGACATCCAGTTGTGCCAGCACCATTTGTTGAAGATGCTTTCTTTCTTCCATTTTATACTTTTAGCTCCTTTATCGAAAATCAGGTGTTCATAGGTTTGTGGGATAAAATCCGGGTCTTCTATACGATTCCATTGGTCGACTTCTCTGTTTTTATGCCAGTACCTCACTGTTTTCATTACTGTAGCTCTGTAATAGAGTTTGAAGTCAGGGATGGTAATGCCTCCAGAAGATCCTTTATTGTATAGGATTGTTTTGGCTATCCTGGGTTTTTTGTTTTTCCATATAAAGTTGATTATTGTCCTCTCCAGATCTGTGAAGAATTTTGATGGGATCTTGATGGGGATTGCATTGAATCTATAAATTGCCTTAGGTAGAATTGCCATTTTTACTATGTTGATCCTCCCAATCCAAGAGCAAGGGAGGTCCATCCATTTTTTGGTATCCTCTTCAATTTCTTTCTTCAATGCCTTAAAGTTCTTGTCAAATAGATCTTTCACTTCCTTGGTTAGATGTACCCCAAGATATTTTATGCTGTTTTTGGCTATTGTGAATGGTGAAGCTTCTCTGATTTCCCTCTCTGCTTCCATATCCTTTGTGTATAAGAGGGCGACTGATTTTTTGGAGTTGATCTTGTATCCTGCCACATTACTAAAGCTGTTTATCAGCTGTAGGAGTTCTTTGGTGGAGTTTTTGGGGTCGCTTATGTACACTATCATATCATCTGCAAATAACGAAAGTTTAACTTCTTCCTTTCCAATTCGAATCCCCTTGATTCCATTATGTTGTCTTATTGCTATTGCTAGAACTTCAAGCACTATATTGAAGAGGTATGGGGAGAGTGGACAGCCTTGTCGTGTTCCTGAGTTAAGTGGGATGGCTTTGAGTTTCTCTCCGTTTAATTTGATGTTAGCTGTCGGCTTGCTGTATATAGCTTTTATTA